AGAAAAGAAGGAAAAAGAAAGTTGGAGCAACTATATTAATAACAGAAGTGACTTCAGAACAAGAAAAAATCACCAGGGATAAAACTACAGGTGAAAAACCAGCCTCTACCTCAGAGCAAAGCCTGTCCAAGGAAGGGGGCGTGACCCTTGTCCCTGGAAAGACCCACAGAGCACTCCCCGCTGAGTTGTTTATCTACAAATAACAGGAGAGATCTGCTGCGCCAGGTGTCCCTGACTCAGTCAGGCTAGGTGAGGACCCACAGCAACCCCCTAGCAGCCACCAATCATCATGAGACAGGGAATATACCTGGGATGCCAGATGACCCTCCCAGTAGTTTATGGTGGTTGATAACATGGTGGGAAACCATGTAGTTCAGCATGTACACCCCTTTGGGCCTAAATCAATCAGTTCAAAGGAATCCCCCTCTTGTTCTGACCAATTACCCCTCCCCAACTTGTTCTCCCCAGTGAATGTGCTAATCATGTTTTAGAGTTGTTTTATGATTTTCCTGCAGTGTGTGATGATTTGCTAAGAGATGCTATGATGTATGTGAAGTCCCTGCCTTCCCCAAAGAGTGTATAAAACTGCCACAAACCCTGGGCTCTGGGCCTCTCAGCGTCACCAGTTGCTGGGTGTGCGCAGAGGACCAAGCTAGCTCGCAATAAACACCTCTTTGCCGTTTACATCGATCTTGGTCTCTGGTGGACTTTTGGGGATCCCGAATTCGAGCATAACACAGGTTAATTCACCAAGAAAACAGAGCGATCCTGTGTGCATATGTCCTTCTTAATAAAACTCCTAAACATAAAAAACAAAAAAAATGGATAAATCTGAAGGGGAAAAGAAAGTCACAGTTATACTTGTGGATGTCAACAATCTTCTTTCAATAACTGATACAAAATTTGAAACACGTGAAAAACTTGAACACTGTCCACCAACTTGACCTAGCAGACATTTATAGAAAACTCCACCCAAGTCAGATATGGTGGCACCACACCTGTTATCCCAGAGACTGGGGAGGCTGAGGCAGGAGGATTGAATGTTGGAGATCAGCCTCAGCAATTTAGGAATACCCTGTCGCAAAATAAAATAAAACAAAAATAAATAAATAAATAAATAAATAATATTTACAGTAGGGTGTAGCTCAGTGGTAAAGCATCCCTGGGTTCAATCCCCAGCTCTACACAAAAGGGAAAAAAAGAGAAAGGGGGGAGAGAGATCCACAAACACAAAGCATGTCCTTTTAAAGTGCACATAGAACATTCACCTAAATGGGCCTATTAGGGGCCTCTTATACTTAACATTTAAAATTTTAAGTGACATGTTCTCTGATCATTATGGAATTAAAATAGAAATCAGGAACTAAACAAAATCTGGAAACTCCTCAAATGTTTGGAAACTAAACAACTGACTTCTAAACGACCCATGGAAATTTCATTAGAAATTAGAAACTATTTTAACTGAATTAATGAAATAAAATTACAAGATATCAAAATATGTGCGATCCAGCTAAAATAGAGCTGAGAGAATTTTATAGTATTAAATGTTTATATGAGAAAGGGAAGGCCTCTGCTGGACATGGTGGTGCATATCTGTAATCCCAGCTACTCGGGAGGCAGGGCAGGGGCATCACAAGTTGGAGGCCAGCCTCAACAACTTAGTGAGACCCTGTCTCAAAATAAAAAATTAAAAGGGCTGGGGATGTAGCTCAGTGGCAGAGCGCCTCTGGGTTCCATCCCCAGTAACACACACACACACACACACACACACAAAGATGACATCTGAATAGAATTTGAAGGACAATAGTGGGGTTTGGGGTGTCAATACATAACTTGATCTTCTTTGTCAAGGGGGAAAGAAGGGAAGAGAGGGAGATGGGAATAGGAAAGACGGTAGAATGAACTGGACATAACTTTCTTATGTTCACATATGAATACATAACCAGTGTAACTCCACCCCGTGTACAACCACAAGAATGGGGTCCTAGGGCTGGGGATGTGGCTCAAGTGGTAGCACACTCTCCTGGCATGCGTGTGGCCCCGGGTTCGATCCTCAGCACCACA